AAAATAGAGAGGTTCCTATTACACAAAGGGATGGTCTTCCAAGATTGTTTCTAAATCAGACCTCAGTATTTCTTTTCCTATGGTGGTAGCCCATTCCCCGGAAGCTGACCCTAGGGCTCCCAGTAACAGTCATTTCATAGTCATCCCCCACCCCTTCATATTCCATAAATTTAAAGTCCAGTTTATAAGAAAATGCTTTGTAACCATTCGGGAATAAAGGATGCCTACTGCTTCATTATCTAGACAAGCTGTGGAGTAGGCTTCTATATATCAGAAAGGGGAGTGATGAGTATCTCCAAGTTTCCCTGAAAGTCTAGTCTCTAAAATGGCTCTAGATTTGACAAGGTCTTGAATCCCACTTTAGCTGTGGCCTTCAACAGTCCCAGAGGCTCTGGTCCACTCAGAGTTCCCTGTAGTTTAGTTCTGAAGTTCCCACTCATCCACCCCCACCTGCCCTAATTGTCATACACAACCTGCTCTTTTCATTAGGACTCTTGCTTTACTGCCTATGGTGGCCAAACTGTTATGCAGATTTACCAGCTATGAACATAAGAGCTCCTTCCTACATCCTTTTCATTCTTAAGAGCATAGTTATTGATACAAATAAAATTTGTATCTAATTTATACTGCCTTCAGAAAATGAGATATACTAAATCTATAAACAGTGTAATTTAAGCTTTTGAGATTTTAAAGATGTAAAAGTTGCTTGGCAACACCTTGCTCTCAGCTCTTTTACAGGAAAATCCTGAGATTAAGTCAGGCTGTACCATCTGCATCGCTGCTGCTCTGAAAACCACTGAGGAAAGGTGACATAGAAACTCAGAACTCTGTTTTGTCATCATTCCTTAACTTCCAGCCCCACCCCAGCTCCATAGCTGGACAAAATACTATGATATACATCAAGATTCACCTTTGGGTCCCAAAATGAGTGTGATTCACTCTGAGGCCTGCTCCTGCCCCCATCTGCACAGTGCTCACTTATACACACATTCACAGAGTAGAACAGAGGTTAGGAGAGATTGTTGAGAAGTCCTGCTCGCATTCTCCATCATGCTCCCTTTCTTCCAAAGACTTGAGGACAAAGCTTGTTTGTCGCTGGTAGTTAGCAGCCTGAGAACCTTACCTGCATGTGAGGTATATATAAGAATGGGGGTGGGGAGGCGCCTGGGTGCTTCTCCCTTTGCCTGCCACTACCCCTGCTTGTGCTCGCTCTCCCTCCCTCTCTCTCTCTCTGACAAATAAACAATCTTTAAAAAAAAAAAAAAAAGAGGGGGAATAGTAAGGACTACAAATAGTCTCCAGATACGTGTTACCTTGTTTTGTTTTTCTTTTAAGTTGAAAACTATACAAGTCTCTTCTAATTGTTACTGCAGGTGAGGGTTTTGGAACTCACAGGGGAACTGAATTCTCGGAGACCATCACTACAAAGGTTTACTTTCTTTATCCTGAACCAATCCTTTCTCATTTTGAGAGTTCTTAGTAAATTATTATCTCTTTCTAAGAGCTATTTTTTAATTGATATCTAAAGTAGGCATTCCAAAAGAAGTACTTTTTTATAACTCCCATTAAGACTTTTGCTTGTTTGCTGATTTCATGATGTTTAGAAGTTTCAGAAATTCACTTGCAGTAGGTACTTAAATCTTCATTCTCTCTATGACTAAAATACACTTTAAATATGCTTCAGGTACACTTATTTGCCTTTCATTGTTTTCTGATCAGAAGTTTTAAACATGGAATCGTGTTGCAAATAAGTTAAAATGGTTCCTTCCATTTGATACTAATTGGGAACTTTTATTTTTTTAAGATACTATTTTTCCTTCTACTTTATTAATATTCAGAAGTCACTGAAGTCAGAATTCCGACTTCTAAGAGACTGACCTGCCTCTATTTGTAATCCATAATTTCTCAACCTTGGCCCTACTGACATTTTAGAATGTCATGGTAATTCTTCGTTGTGGGGGCTATCCTGTGCATTATAGGGTGTTGGACAATATCTCTCCCCTCCAGGATGTGCCCGTAGCACCCACCCAGATCAAACGTCCCCAGGGGCAGAATTGCCCCTTGTTGAGAGCAGCTGTTCTGATCTATGTGTAACACATGCTTCCAAACACTTCAGTGGGGATATAGCATGGGTTGTATGTGCTTTTCTTTTTAACTTTATTTCTTTTTAATCTGATTCTTTCCTATTGGTTTGTGATACTTTTTTAAAAGACCGTAGATTTGTTTTTTGTTGTTGTTGTCTGTTTCTTTTCTATTCAAGACACTTTTAAAGAAGGAGAATATTAAAACCTTCTGTGTCCACCACCAGGCCAGACCCTATTATTTTGAGGAGCGTGCACAGTAATTCATACCAGATATTTTTGTTGTTGAATCTTCCAGGTTTATACAAGACACTGTGTGTACGTGTTTAAATTTTTTTTAATGTATAGGAAGATAATTCTTCACCTTAAAAAGTATAAGCGTTACTTCAGAACAATCAGTTCAGAGGCTGAGAAAGGAAAAATCTACATTTAATTATTACAAAGGTTTGATAAGAGCTTTCATGAAATGCTGTTTATTATATGTCTGAGCTTAAGAACTCCTGTAATTAAGTTACAAGTTTTTAGGGAAAGAATACTGAACATTTATAGAATTTGAATAAAAAGTCTAGCCACTCTTGAAAAATATAGAAAAAACTCTATGATTCTACTTTTTAAAAATGCAATTTAGAATCTCCCCAAAGGGACAGTCTTCCATATTTTGCTGGGTGAAGTGCTTCTGCATTTCCAGACCTGAGCTGCACAGGAATGAAGACCTTAGACCTCAAGAGAAACCAGAGCCCGGCCTGCAGATGAGCCTGCAACCACTGTGAAAATGTCCCCACCCAGGCTCTGCAGATCTGTGTGAGGGTTAAGGGCAGAAGGAAAATGGAAATGAGTTAGAGCGGGAGAAAGGATTCCATTTAGGTGTTCACACCTTCTTTACCTGTCCACTTTCTCTCATAGGCCTTTAAGGAGGCTTTAACTACAGGGCACATTCCTTCTCTATCAGCAGAATCCTCCTATTCTTTAAAATAAAAAGCAGACAGATGTCAGTTGAGTGCTGTTACACTCAGTGCCTGAGGATGGACTTTTTGTTCCCTTGTATCTCAACGCAGCATTCCTTTGGCTCCTGCTCTCCCATACCTCTGTAGAATTAAGAAGTAAAACATAGCATTGTTTCACCAGTGTGTGTGTGCTAACTAGGCATTCACTTTGCACATCCAGTAATACAGCCTAATGAGTCCTTCCAGAGTAAATTAAGACTTGCTCACAAAGTTCCAGCACTTTAGAACTAGGGGAAAATCTGAGAAATAAAATAACTTTAGGGACCAAAAAAGGTATAATTTATAAAGTAGATAATAAATGTAGAAACTTATCACCCTAGCAATTGGAACTAATTTAAAAGAAGGAGTCAAAGTTTAAATTTCAAGGATGACGGAGGCTCTATGGAGTATATTATGTAATACTCAACATCTTTGGTGAAATTTGCCCTCTCAAGCTTGACATGAGTTTTCTGAATCTCCTCTGAAAAGATGTTTTTCTTTGACTTATTTCTACCCGTTGTTCATTCATTCCCTCAACAAACATTTATTGCATGTCTACTATGCACTAGACATTGCAAATTATCTCACTTCTTACTTTATGTTTTTGTTTTGGTTTTGGTGGGTGGCAGGGGGCTGTGGAATTGGTAGCTTGGTAGCTTCAAACAAATTCTTTTCCTTAGGTCAAAAGTTAGGTGTCTTTTAGAGTGAGCAAGTCACAGTCGCTTGCAGGGTGTCCTGCCTGGCCAAGCAGAAGTTATACATGCTTATGCTTACTAGCACATTCATGAATATCTGTCTGGCAACCAGTTAGTTCTGAATCTTCATCTTACCATAATGAAAAGGGCAGATTTGGGGGGAAAGAATGAGAACTGGAGAACATCCCCCACCCCCGCCACCTCTCCACCCCCCCTGCTCCCTACTCATCTCCTCAATTGCTAAGACTCTGTGTATTTGGAGGCTGGAAAGCAGGAAGTCATATTTTTTATTCTTGCCAATGAATCCTTTTCATAATTATCACCTAACATCATGGTAGCCCCTGCAAACCCAAGGGAAGAAAGGTATTAGGAGCCGGAAAGGATGGAGCCATTGAAAGACAGAAGTTTTCAGTTCATTTGTTCACAGATGTTTACTGAGGTCCTACTATGTACCAGAAAATGTGCCAGAAAATGTGCTCAGTGATCTAGAGCAACCCCATCCTTTCACTTTTGGGGCTTCCCATCTAATAGAGAAACTAGACCTTGAGTAAGAGCATAAAAAACATTTGCCTTTTCCACAGTGTTATTTGGGGCTCGGCCTTGGAGTCCGCAGAATCCTCTCTCCGGGCTCCTGACCCTATTCTGTAAACATGAGGGTAAGAGAATCTTAAGGCAGGGAGAAATACCCCTCTGCATTTTGGTGTGAATGTAACTGTGGCATTGACCTTATGCTGCTAGTTATTCTTCAAAAATATTACTCAAAGAAGGAAGAATTAAAATGAAATGTGCATATAATAAGAGAGTAAAGATTGGGATATAAACAGTGTCCCAGAGATCATTTAAATATCTAGAAGCTATTCAGCAAGGGGCAGCATGGCAGCCAAAGACAACCTTGTCCTCAAAAGAGGAAAAGCTTTTTACTTTTTAGCAAATTCACTAATAACTTTTTCATGTGAACTATAATCATTTGCTAGTTTGAAACAAAGAGGTTTTCTCTTTATAAACTATTGATCAGAAGTGATTATTGACACTTAAGGGTAGAAAATGCAAATAAGAGTGGTGTGATTTTTAGGCATACTTGCTTGATTCCTTCAATGATTTGGTAATTTAAATGCTGTAAATTTCAATGCTCAAGAGGGCTTACATATAAAATGAATGTCACTTGAAAAACAGTTAAGTCAGTCATCAGATCATTGTCAAATTTATAATTTGAGATGTTTCTCTCTTTTCCCTCCCTTTAGCTTGTCAAAATTCCTAAAAATGATCCCCCCAATGAAGCGCACACCTTTAACTTCTATTTGTCAAATGTGGGTAAAGACAACCCTCAGGGCAGCTTTGACTGCATCCAGCAAACATTCTCCAGGTAAGTATGTTTGAAGATATGCTGAAGGGAGAATAATTTTTCTTTAAGAGTTTTTTGTTTTTACTTAAACAATAAAATATATAGTAGTCATTCCATAGATGTTTATTCAATTGAATTATAGAGCTCTTTTATTAAGAAATATTGAGTACCTACTATGTGCCAACAGTTATATTTGTCACTGTGGGATACAATCATAAAAATTTTAAGGTTCTTGCCCTCAGGAATTTTTAAGGTATAGATTTTTTATCTATAAAACGGGTTTTTTTTTTTTAATTAAAGACAAGTTTAAGAATTTTTTTTAAGTTTTTATTCACTGTATTTCAATAAGAGTGCCTTATTGTATACTCAAGGTTCACACTCCAGAGTAAAGGAGTAAAAAAAATATGTATATCTTGTATATCCCTTTCTTTCTTCCCTGTGCAAGCCTTGTTTTAAGATTTTCAGAAATTTTTATGCTGCAGCATAATGGAAACTAGAAATTAATCCCAATAGAGCAGTCACCGCTAATTTTAAAGGAAAAAAAAAAAGAGGGAGGAAGACAAGAATACACACCCACATCCCAGGGTACCATGGAACCCTTATCTCACTTAGGTCCTCTGTAAACAATAAGCTACTTGTTTGACTTGTCTTTGCTCTGGTTGTTTCTGATTAAAGAATGGGCCCCTTGAGTAGGGGGAGTTTGTTCTGCCCATGGATAAAGACAAGGCCTTAGAACCCCCAACATCCCGAGAACATTGAAATTGGCCCAAACTGTCTCAGGCTATCCATTCCTATCTCTCATCTGTGCAGTACTTGAAACTGTGTAAGCATTTGCTGTATGTGGGAGAAAGGAAAGGAAAGCTATATTGCAAGGGAGCATGGAAGGTAGAGATACCAAATAAGACACTTCACTGAGAGTTCTGAATTTCTACTCCCATTTAGGGTGACTAAATAACTTTCTGTTCTATCTTAATAAGCCATTTTCCTGAGTAAATGTTAATTTTGCTCTTTAAAAGTTGCCCACTCCCAAACTTACATTTTTTGGTATAAATTGTGTATGTTGTAGATTATATAGACATTTCTGTAGTATCCACTGTGATAGCTACTGGCCATATGTGGCTATTTACATTTCAATTGATAAAAATGAAATAAAATTTAAAATTTAGTTCTTCACTCACATTTACCACGTATTATGTATGGGCTCAATAGCCACATGGCTAGTGGCTATCATGATGGACAGTACAGATACAAAACATTTTCACAATTGCAGAAAGTACTATAGGACAGCACTGCAGAAGATTACAGAAGCATCAAGTATGAGGGTCTTTAGTGATTGTATAGTTCAACCCCTTCACTGCACAGATGACGTATTTATAGTTACACAGCTGGTTAGTTGGTGACAAGGCTGAATAAAAACTGGGTCCTCCTAACTCCCAGACCAGTGTTCTTTACACACCAAAGGGCACACCGATTTCAAATTGTGGTGCTATTACTTATGATGCTTGCCTTTAGAGAATTATTTTATTATAGTGAGAACACTTTGACCTCAAATTGAACTACGTCCCATTAGGAATTTTATTGAGAAACAATCCCCTCTTCAAAACCAGTGATAGCATCATAGGTAATATGATTTCTCCCTTAGATCATAAACACCCTTGCTTGTTTGGAGAAGGATTTAAAGTCACTTACAAAATGCTACATGATGCAGCAAGAGAAATGAAACAACTATTGTGAGAAAATTGGGGCAAATACATTAGTATGATCCAGTGCGTTTTATAAAAGTATGATCCAACTATAAAAGTATGATCATAAAATGGTCTTGTATGGGTATAAATTGAAGTTGCCACTATGAAAACAAAAGCCCTGAAACTTCAGTTCTCAACCTGGCAAGCAAGTTTTTTTTTTTTTATAATTTCATTCCACCTCTTCTGTTCAATTGAATTTTTATTTTTCCCATGGTTCTTGTCTCTGCTGTAGTTCAGGTTCTCCTTGAATGTCACTTTTATCATATCTAAAATGGAGGAAATCCCAAAGTTAAAATTGCCTTTCAAAAATTCCTTAAATCTGTCCATTCACAGGCCTCTTGGAAATACATAGTTCAGGCATATAGCCCCATACAGTAATGCACAGTCTATTGTAGGAAACTGAGCTAGGCTAGAGAAAGATTCTAGGAATGCTTACATGTCAAATGTCAAATGCTTATATGTCAAAGTATTTAAGTACTCTTAAGGTACTTTTAAGGTAACTCTGAAAAGGGATGAGTGGACAATTCTAGAGAGTACCTTCTTGCCTACAGGGTTTAGCTCTATTTTGTTTAATGGAAAGATCTGTTTCTTGACTTTGAGTGGTATAAGCTGTAACTTCATTGTGACTGACAAAAGGTTCAGCTTATTCTCACTATTGAAATTATTTAATAATTTCTGGGGGGAGATGCTGAAATTCAAACTTCCTCCCACCAGAACTTCAAACTGTAGTCTCTTCTTCTTCCTTGCCAGTAGTCCTTCAGTAGCCTCCTAAGTGGTCTCCTCCTGCTTTCACTTTTGTGCCCCCTACCTCCCAATCTGTTCCTTATCCAGATTGATCTTTTTACAGTACAAATAAGATATTTTCTCGCCCCTGTTTTTAGCCTTTTTCTTGGGATAAATCTAAAATCCTCCAAAGCCCTGTATGAGTACTTCTCCTGCCCTCTTCAGTCTCAGCTCTAATTGTCTTTTCCAACTTTCTTTGGTCAAACTGAAAACTTCCTCCTTGCTTCCCCTGGGCCCACACAGGTTGGTTCTCCTCCCAGAAAACGTCTATCCTCCCCGTCCACACACACACCCCCTGTAGACATCCCTGTAGATCAACTTCGGCTTCACTTCCTCCAGGAAGCTTTTGCCTTGCCTACAATCCAGGTGAAGGACCTTCCTGGGGTTTCCCTGCCTCCCTGCCATTTGTCACACTGTGTCATAATTTCCAGTGTGCTCATCCTTGTCACCCAGTAGACAGCTTCTTGAATGAGGGGCCACATCTCTCTTAGTCCTTGTCTCAGTCTGACCCTCACATATTGCCTGGTGTGCAGTCCCTGCCTAATAAATATTTATGAGATGAATGAACTGGTTTTCTTCTTAAATAGCATTTGTACAGTTATTAGGAATTTACAGAAATTTTATCAACCCTATTTCTTAGCCTCATAACAAAGCTAGTTTGGAAATAGAGTATCAGAGCTGTAGTGACATTTTCATTACTTCTATATTCCAGTCTGTTTTAAGGCCATAGTAATTTCTTTTTAAAATACCAGCGTAGGAGCACCTGGGGGGCTCAGTCAGTTAAGCGTCTACCTTCAACTTAGGTCATGATCCCGGGGTCCTGGAATTGAACCCTGCATCAGGCTCCCTGTTCAGCAGGGAGTCTGCTTCTCCCTCTGCCCCTGCTCTCTCTTTCACTCAATCTCTCTCTCTCTCATAAATAAATAAAATCTTCAAAATAAATAAATATATAAATAAAATACCAGTGTAACTGCTACCATGATCCCCTAATATTAGCATAATACTTTGAAACAGAGCCATCTTCCAGGCCAATGTTAATTTTCATGGTTTTTTTAAATAAAAGTTTTTCAAAAAATATTTACAAAAATCTCTTTGTCCAGTATTTTCTTCAATATTTGCCACACAAATAGGTTATCTTATGTAGAGATTTAACAAAATGGTAAATACAGAGTCTACAAATGTTTAGGATATTTGGGCTAATAATAAATCCTAATGTTTGGCAATATTTTGGCCTTAAAATGAATTATCTTATTAAAAATAAAAAGCATTACAGTGGGTCTATTTCTTCTAGTCATTTCTAAAGCATGCATATTATGGTTCCTCCAAAAGTAAACTTTAAACATTTTTCATATAAGTGGTAGATAATTTTTTATAAAATGAAAGTAGAACTACAGTGCTCATTGAGATTCTGGTCTTTAATATAAATACTAATTATTTTCAGAATTTTACAGATTTGGCCTCTGAGAGTTCATTTTACCCATTCTATTCAAAATATGAAAAAAAATGTGATGTGAAATGAAGGAAAGGAATTTAAATATTTTAAATTTCAACATTTCAAATTATTAATATTAGTTATTTCCAGATTGCAAGGCTGTTGTTTGGGCTGCTGATTTTAGAATTATACAATTCTCTCTTACCATTATTGTGCAAAATGAGGGACATTTCTAACAAAGCCACCATCTTACTTGACAGCTCTGGAGCCTCCCAGCTCAATTGCCTGGGATTTATACAAGATAAAATTACAGTGTGTGCAACAAACGACTCGTATCAGATGACACGAGAAAGAATGACCCAGGCAGAGGAGGAATCCCGCAACCGAAGCACAAAAGTTATCAAACCCGGTGGACCATATGTAGGTTTGTATAGATATCGTTTTCCTTCTCACTGATTGATTGGAATAATTCAAGACCACTGTAGGTAAATACTGGTAATATTAACTTAATGTTAACACAGAATTAGTTTCCAGAACATTTTGAATAACAGGGTCAAAAATCATCTGTTCTCTTTATACTGATAATAAATTGAACAGATAGAAAAGTTTTACTTCTTTCATAAATCCCGAATCCTTTAAATCCATAACATTTGTTATGTTACAGTACTGGGATCTGGTCACGTGACTTTACTATGTGAGGTTGTAGTAGTGGTACTGTTGTGTGTTCTTTGACCCTGGATGATGTAATTTCAATGATGGACAGTATAGGTTTTGTTTGGCATTTTTACAGGGTTATTTTTACAGTAAAATCTATTGGTAAAATTTATGAGTTTTCCATTAGTAGAATTTCAGAGGATCTTTGCACACAGAATTTTTATTTTAAAATATAAAATATGCTTATAACAAAGTATGAGGGTAATGCCTTTTTGGTACCTCAACTGTGATGTCATTCATGGATTCTCATCCTCTTCTATACATTAATTAAGAGGCTGCCCCACCCCCATCATCTTTATGGTCAGCTCACTCAAATATCCATCAGACTGAAGGGAAGTAAGACCGGACAAGCAAGATGAGTCTCTCCTTTATGAGCAGTGACCCTACCAATTTTTAAAGAGTTGATTGGCAGTGACTATTAACAGTAATAGGAACAATTATCAAGAGTAAAGATGAGCTCTTTGAGGCTTTTGGTCATGATAACATAAGTCATCATAAGTAAATGATGAAAAGATAGAAATTTGGAAATGTAAATGCACACAAAAACAGTCTCATGAATAACCAAATTCTTTAATCAACATCTTTCCATGGTTTGGTATAATTTTACTTCTGTATTTTCCCATTGCTGACCCAGCTACAGTACATTCAGCTTTGAGAAGCTCCACTGGTGTCTTCAGTAAGTATTTCTTTGGAACAAAGCCAGTGCTCCTGGGACTTGGTGCTTAGCTTAGATACATTTAGTTTGGTTTAACAACAATTCATGGCTTCTCCAGGTATCTGTACCCATGGGGCCTAGTCCCAACCCAGTAAGTTACCAGCAGTGAGATTTTTCACCTTCCCTTTCCTGCTGAGTGAGGTAGCAACTTCCAACCTCCTTTCTTTCTCTTTATTTTCACAAGTAACTTCACTTTCTCTGTAGTAGGCTAAATCTCAAATTGTTTTTAAAATGCACAAGATCTGCCGCACTTAAATTTTAAGTACAAACAGCGAATTTGCTGTCCCCATTGCTTTGAAAGTATTTTTTACTCTGTCCAGTACCATCGTTTTATAAACAGTGAGGCAAGTTGGTGTGTTTGACAAAGGACTAGAAGACTAAAACCACCAAAATGATTTTTTTTTTTGGCCTCTCAGTAGAACTAGCTGAAAAACTTTACCTTGATTTATTCCAAAGTTTGCAAATCAACAGTGATCACTGTACCTTTCCATTGAATGATCCTTGGGTGTCCCCTCCGTTCATGTGTTTGTTTTGATAGGGTCAGGTACAGTTTATCTGCACAGCATGTTACACGGCAGACTTTTCAACACCCAGAGTCACGTAACTCACACTGTTCCTAACGGTACAGGAATTTTCGAACTTGCAGGGTTTCTTATAGGCACTGTAGATAACTCATGTAAAATTTGAGGTCATCTAAAGTTTAAATTGAGCCAGATTACATCCGTGCCATTCTCAGACAGGCTGGCCTCCCTCTGCACACATACGTTTGCCCCCACAGAGCTCTGCAGTGACCCTGCCAGCCTGCGTGCCCCACTCTGCTGGGTCCTCTGTGCCCTGGCCGCTCCCCGGCACAGTATAGTGTTCTCTGGTCTTCAGTCTTGTCGTTAACCTCTTCAGCCTTTTATTCTCTTGGTCGCATAACCCCAGCTCCTTTTAACTTTTCTTAAAATGGCCTGTATCCCAACCCTTTAATTATTTTTATTGCTCTCTTTTTGACTGCATCCATTTCTTCAGCTCAGAATTCAAAACTTAAGTTTTTGATTTTTTTACTGTGCTTTGTTATGGTGTGTTTTGACCTTTCTCTTTTAATCTTATCCACTGCTAGTCCTTTACCATATTTCTTTCCTTATAGGTGGCTCAGTTTGTATCTTCCTGCCTTTTTTAGTAACTCAAAACTATCTGACTCATTCATTTCTTTCAAATGCTAGTCATTCACCCCTCAGTACTAATATTACCCGACACTTATGGCATGCTTGCTGTGCACAAGATGCTGGTTAGCACTTTATACATAGTTACTCATCTAGATCTCAAAACCACCCCATTAGGGGGGTTATGATTACTCTCCATTTTCCATATCACATAGTTGGTATCAACAAATAGCAAATGATATGGATTTGGCCCCATAACAAGTTGTGTTATTTGCTTAAGACAATAGGAGATACCTCTTTAGTTCATAATTGAATATATCATATAAAATGATACCAGAAGCACACTTTCGCAACCTTCAAAGTACCTGCATAGCAAGGCTTCTCTCAACAGCATCAGCTTGGGTGGAGGACAAATGGGAATAATGCTGGTCTCGCTGAGGGGTTGTGGTGGCATAATGCCAGGCGAGGCCTCTGGCAGCTGAATTAGGGCACAAACCCTGTTTAAGGGGATGAAGACTATATTCCTAAGGGTCACCTGGCCTAGTCATTCAGGAATATGAGCTTTTGAGACCCTCTTGTAGACTGAAAACAAAAACAAAAACAAAATCTATTTTGCCTGAAGAGGAACAGGAGAGTCTTTAACCTAGGAAACATCGTTATTATTTCTTCATAATATTTCTGCTTCTAGTCGTGAAATTTGTATCAGTGGTGAGCACTGTTGTGTTATAATCCTTTCACTTTGTTTGAAAAAAAAAAAAAAAACTCAAGAATCACTAATTACCACTGCTTCCATTTTACCAATATGTCTGCTCCCTGATTTCTACCTAAATTCTGGAATTTTATTGAATTGTACATTTTTAATACATGCTAATATTTATTTAGATGGATAAAATAACCCAACCTGTGTAATTTTTAGAATTCTTTTTCCAATTTTCCCAACTTCTGCCCCATCTTATTTATAATGAGCTGATACATTTTGAATGACCTTGGACAAATCATTTAATATCTGTGGACCTTAATTTTCTCAATTATTAGATAAGGGATATTTGAACTGGGTAGCATCAAAGGTCCTTTGCAGTTCTAACATTCTGTGGCGTAGGTGTGTGTGTGTGTGTGTATTTGGATAATAAACCTTTTGCAAAAAAAAAAGAGCAAAAATGCCAAATGGTGGAGATGGTTTCCATTGCAGTGGATTATGTATTTACCATGCCAGTCACCCCATCATCAAGGTCCTGCCAGTGTTTTTTAAAGCATTGGGTTGGTGTTGCAGGGCTTCTGGCCAGGTTCCACAGAATAGAAAAACCACCGCAGAAGACGTCTACAGCCCCTGCTGTCTTTCTGATGTACTGTTTTAACACCTGCCTTTCAGATTGTTTACCCAGAGCCACTAGACAGAGGGATAAATACTTTTACCATCTCATATTAAATGGAGACGCTAGAAGTGGACTCCTTGTTATGAAACAGCAGTTCAGATACAGTCCCAGATTACCCAACTCTGTCAGACCCACTGCTGCTGTTTATATAAGGAGCCCAGGGAATTGATTAGCAGTTGGGTCTGGGAAGAGAATTAGGTTCTCCCACAGGCTTTATTAAAAGGGCTTTTCTGAGGCAAATGTGAAAAAATAAAAATAAAGCCTTTCTTCTGCCCACTTTGAACCTCACATTTTCTTGCGTTACTTTTTTTTCTCTCTTTCTTTTTTTCTTTAGTATCTCAGTTCCATAACTACTTAGAGCACTGATGTTTTCTTCATCTGTAGCCGGTCTTACCTTAAATCAGAGGACTTCCTGGATGAATAGGCACAGACTGATGGGGAGGCAACAAGCAAGTGATCTTGGCATAAAACTCAGTGGCCCAGTGTGTTTGGATTGCTCTATCAGCATTTAAAAGAAGTGGGTTACCCCACAACTGGCTGTTTAAAGGAAAAATGAGAGTGGAGCATCTGGGTGGCTCAGTCAGTAGGCATGCAACTCTTGGTCTTGGGGTCTTGAGTTTAAGTCTCAAGTTGGGTAGAGCTTACATTAAAAAAAATAAAATAAAATAAGTAAAAAAAATAAGTAAAGGAAAATGAGATAAAGGTGAAGTGAGTGTACTGGGGGTAGGAGATTCATGTACCAGTAACAGCCTAGCATTAGGCCCCAGCTGAGACCTCACTGCTGTCATATCCCTGGCCAGATTCTAATTTCTTGTCAAACATCGTACTTACACGCCTTTTAGGGGCAAAATGAGCCTCCCTTATTTATCCACCCTATGCTTACTTCAGGGAGGGGTGGGGGTAAACTCAGGAGACCTTGGGGCTCTCCTGAGACTGAGGATCAGAGGTGGGTCAGATATACAGAGGAGGTAGGGCAGCCTGGAACACACTGGTACTGCTGTCACTTTTTATTTTTATTTGCCTTCCTTGCTGGCTTGAATTCATTCTAAATGATCAATCATGGTATGTGTGAGCTTAGCTAGCTAAAAAACATTACACTGTCCACTCCCCTCCCTAGGGAAGAGTGGTAGAGAGGGCTCCATAGTCAGCTTTTTTGGGGAAATGTAAGCTAAACAGGTTTCAAGGGGGAGGAGAGTGTGGAATTTATAGCATTTCCTAAACTTTTGTGACCCTGGCTTTATTTTTTTTTCCGCACAAATTCCTATTAAGATTTCAAGGAACAGTACTGTTTGTTAATACTGTTACAACTGAGAAGTGGTAGATTGGAAGGTTTGCATTTGCCACATTAGAAATTCCAGTGTTTCCTCAGATGCTGGCATCCTGGCAATATGGGAAAATACAGACCACATTGATGCTGGCTCCTCTGCTGTCTGCTTGTTCTCTCGCTGTCACTCACTTTGACACTTCGCTAGTCATCAAATGCTGATTCAAAGTCTCCTAGTGAACAAAGCAGCCACAGCCCTGCCCGTATGGAGCTTACAACCTAACACGAAGCTGGCAGACAGGAGGCATTTGTTCATAAAACCTTTCCTACAAAGAAGTTCATGTAGGAAAACTTGGGTACTAATAACAGAACCTTCCAAATGCTAAGTGAGCACTTTATACCATTTGAGCTTATCCCATTGAAAGCCTCAGTTTTCTCATCTGTGACATGTGACCATGCCTGTTTCGTCATGCTGCTATGAGACTTAATATGTGTAAAGGTCTTAGCACAGTGTCCCCACCACCACCACTTAATTGATTCATGGTAAATATTAGTTCCCTGCCCATCTGACACTGATCTAGCTATCTCTAAGAAAAATACAGAAACCAGATCTAAGTCTATCTCCAAAACTCTAATGCACCCTAATAGCTTTTCTTACTACTAGGCAGTGTTCCTTTAATGTTGAGTTCCTTTGTTGTGCAATATTTTGATCTGATATTTATAATTCATTATGTCCAGACAGTAGAGAAATATAAGAGCCAGTGAGATATTTGTCCTTTCTCCTTTATTCTAGGCAGGATTGTGTCAGACAAACAGCCCCTCTGGCTAGGCCTCAGGACCCCAGCATGGACAGAATTACTATTAAAGCTCCTGCCCAGTTAAGCTGTTTTCACACCAGACCAGACCAGATCAGACCATAGCACTTAAGAGACTACTTTTACTTATCCATTGTTTCTAGTTGCTAGTCTTGTTCCTAAGGCACTTGCCCCACATTGTATGTCATTACCACTTCTCCCCACTCTTTAACGAGAGGACACAGAGTTGGAGGTTTAGAGTATTCTAAAGGTGCTAGAAGATTCCACTTCAGAAATGATAAAATGAGGGTCTTCTACAGTTTCATTCTAATTTTTTCTTCAGGGAAGAAAGTTTACCAGGTTTTGTCAGGGATCAGCTATGTCCTGATGGCTCTGGACATCCACATGGTATCCAGATTACTTCAGCCCACAGATACTTTCTAGAAGTAGCCACTTGCCAATTACCAATGTTAAGTTTAAGGGCAAAGTCAGTTAATTACCAAATGGCACTTGCCTGGCAGGAATGATGTGAGGGCCTCGTTTTTACCATTTTCCATTCCTCTAATTCACCAGTGTAGCCTCAGCCCTGCAGTGCAGATGTCTGCTTGTCTGGCTCTCTGAGAGTGTTTTTTGGTTGGTTAGTTTTGGTTTTGGTTTTGACTCCTAAAATGTGTTACGGCCTATTGAAAAGGAATATGTCTAGTGGATGTCCTGCTGAATGTTGACCCCAAATTATGCCTGACTCCCCTCTTTGAGGTTTTGAATCTGTGATATTAAGATAATTCCCCAGCTCAGCCAAAAGTATGGTCTTAGATACAACAAGTATTTCTCATGTTTCACATGTGCTACATTCTGTCTGCCAAAGAAATGACATATAATATGTAGATTTAAGTTCTGTAAATGGCACAGGTAAACATGGAAATTACTTTATTTCCACTTGACATGAACTACCTACGAACTTAAAATTTCTAGTCTGTTGGGGCACCTGGGTGGCTCAGTCGTTAAGCATCTGCCTTCAGCTCAGGTCATGATCCCGGGGTCCTGGGATGGAGCCCCTCATCGGGTTCCTTGCTCAGCAGGAAGCCTGCTTCTCCCTCTCTCACTCTCCCTGCTTGTGTTCCCTCTCTCACTGTGTCTGTCAAATAAATAAATAAAATCTTTAAAAAAAAAAATTTTTTTCCAGTCTGTTGCTACATGTACCATGTCACTAATGTACCATATGTAGCTAAGTGACCAGAATAATTCTGTATATGTATTTAGTCCAATAAACGTTTCTATCAAAACAATTTCAAATCCATAATTTTAGGCCATTTATTAGAAATGCTTTCTGTCTGTATATCTCTTTAAAGTAAAAACTGAAATAAAGTGGCCTTAATTCCCTCTAGAAATGAAGAAGTACCTATATCAGAGTTGAGGAAACTGTGATGCTCATTATGTTTTTACCTGCAAATGTGTAACAATGTCATTTCCACTGGACTTTAGGGAAAAGAGTGCAAATTCGGAAAGCACCTCAAGCTGTTTCAGATGCAGTACCTGAGAGGAAACGGTCAACCCCCATGAATCCTGCAAATACGATTCGGAAGACACATGGCAGCAGCAGTGTTTCTCAGCGGCCATACAGGGACAGAGTGATTCACCTACTGGCACTGAAGGCCTATAAGAAACCTGAGCTGCTGGCTCGACTGCAGAAAGATGGTGTCAATCAAAAAGACAAGAACTCCCTCGGAGCAATTCTACAACAGGTGAGACATGTGGAGAGAGCTCCTTCCTTGTACTTTCTTGTTGAGAAGCTCATTTAAGAAGGCTTCGTGTTGTTGCTATTTGAGGTAGAGAAATTTCAGGATCATCTTCATCGATGGTATATGAATTATAACTCTTGAATATTAAGTCATCTTGTTTTAAACATTTAATTAAAAAACTAATTGAACTATAGGCATTTATAGTAGGTTTTATAAGTTAGAGGCTACTGAATTGTTAATTTAAAAAAGTAAATTTCAAGTCATTATCTTCATTTGGATTAAACAAATTTTGCTCTGAAATTCCATAAAAAAAGTAAGAAGTTTTTGATGTCTCTTTTTTGGTCTTGAATCACCTAAACCATTGCTGTTGTATTTATTCATTTATATAGGTGAAGTTGTACAATTTATTTTTATCAGTCTTTGGTTGGTATAAGCTAGAATATTTTTATCTATGAGTTTCAATTGTGTCTTGCCGTGCATGCTCTTTACTCTGCCTTTTTCTACCACTGAGTATGCTGAGATCATTCACTTGTCTTCATTAAGGGATTTGAATGTGTATTAGCTTTGATCAATTACCTTGTAATTACAAGTTTAAGTATAAATGTTGGAGCTGGAGTTATAAATTAGGAGATAGCAGTGTATAGATTAGCTAGTGAAAGCTTTAGAACTGGGACACCTGGCTGGCTCAGTTGAAGGAACATACGACTCTTGATCTCAGGAGCATGAGTTCGAGCCCCATGTTGGGTGCAGAGATTACTTAAAGAAAAAAGAAAAAGAAAGCAAGCAAGCCATAGGGCTGAATGAAATAGACTTAGGAGAAGATGATGACAATGAAGAAAATAGGGCAGAGGATAGGTCCTAAGCACTCTAGCATACAGAAGAGTGCACAAAAAAGACAAGAAAAAAAGAGGGAGGAGGAGAAAAACAGGAGAAGGTCCCATTATGAAGCCTAGAGAAGAGATGGGGTATTAAGTCTACATAGTCCCGAGGATAACAGGAAAGCTAAGCATTGTTGGTATTTTTTCCACTTTGAGAAATCGGGTTGTGTCTCATCCTAATGTATTTGCAAATTTGAATCTTAAGGCTACCATTTTCTTTTTTTTTTTTAAAGATTTTATTTATTTATTTGACAGAGCACAAGTAGGCAGAGTGGTAGACAGAGGGAGAAGGAGAAGCAGACTCCCCGCTGAGCAGGGAGCCCGATGCAGGGCTCGATCCCAGGACTCTGGGATCGTGACCTGAGCCGAAGGCAGACGCTTAACGACTGAGCCACCCAGGCGCCCCAAGGCTACCATTTTCTACTTTATAACAACATTAACGTTAATGTTAAGCTGTAAGAAAAGCATAAACTATCATAATACATTTGATAGTACTTTAAAAGGACACAGAAAGAAGTGAAGCTATTGAAAAAGACCATTCCAGTAGGAAATGACAGGAGGAATACCTTTCTGCCAGCCTTAAAAATGACTCTTGGTTTGGCACTTGAATCCATACATTTGTATTATTAATGGAATCTAGGCCTGGACACTCTAGGAATTGCCATTATACGATAAGAAAAGATTACACTTAAGAATAAACTTGCTGACTAATAACAGTAATTTGGGGGTTATTTTGCTGTATGTTTCGTTTTATTGGTTTTCGGGAATTTCAAGGACTTTGAATAAGTGGTTCTTCAGGAGAACTGGCAGCCACAAGAAGCAGGCTTAGCAAGCCAAGAAAATGACAGACAAGGGCATCAGAATTGATACTATTTATGGAGATAATTTCTGCTGATTGCTCAAGGGAAAGTTTATAACCTAGCATTTGGGCAGTGTTTGGTTTCTACTTAATACAAATGATCAAGGATTTTTACTGTGGTTCAAAACTAATGGCGTTAATGACCAGAAGTAAATAATGAAGCTGTTAAACCTCACTCCTTAGACTAGAAAAACTTGATTTAAAAAAGTAAAAAAAAATAAAATAAACTTCCCTCCACTTTTTGCCTAATGTAGGCTGTTTGAATAGAAATATGACATACAGTGAATGTTCAGGGAAAAAATATTTAGCTACTTATATAAAGTTTTTATTTCCCAAATAAAGTCGAACAGCATTTACTGAGATCTGGCATATGCAAAACTAGCAGTGCCTTTGGGGCCAATTGGTACAGTTACTTTCAGTGTAAATGCAAAATGTTTCCTGTTCCGGGTTAGGAAGTAACAAAAAGATCTAATGCTCTGTTTTCACACCATGTACCAGGTAGCCAATCTGAATCCAAAGGACCTCTCATATACCCTAAAGGATTATGTTTTTAAAGAACTTCAGAGAGACTGGCCTGGATACAATGAAGTAGACAGACGGTCATTAGAGTCTGTGCTCTCAAGGTAAATTTTTTTTTCCTTTAAAAAAAAAAATTTTAGTCATTGTTAGTTTAGTGTTGAGAAGGAAGAAACAAGGGTAAGCTTTTTATCACGAACATTTGACAATTCTTTCCATAACTGGAATGTGTGTATCCTTTACAGAAAACTAAATCCATCTCAGAACGCTGCCAGCACCAGCCGTTCAGAATCTCCCGTATGTTCTAATAGAGATGCTGCATCTTCTCCTCAGGTATTCATAAAATTATATAATCATAGCCCTGAAGTGAACCTCAGGGGCCACCTAGTTCAGGTGGTCTACTTATGCATGAGAGAAATGAGGCCCAGAAGCTGCACAGCTTGCCTGCCCAAAGTCACATAGCTAGTTAGTTCAGGGCAGAGCTCCCAGCTCACAGCCCAGACCTCTTTTTCTCTACACAGCTTTGCTTGTCAAAGTGCTTAATATCTACTTTGTTTGTCCATATTTAAAGTTTACATTGTATTATAAGATTATCTACTTTTCCATTAGATCACTAACTAGAAGACTTACCTAGGCCCATATCCAGTCTCAAATTATACAGAAAATTGAAGATATTTAATATTATCTGAACCATGTTCAAAAAAAACTTTTCTTAGGGAAAAATGTTTCTAAAATAAGCAAATAAAAAATTCTGTCAATTTCAGACATATCTCCTTAATGTACTTTTTTCATTTAGATCCCAATCAGAATTCTCCATTTAAACCTCACTCCTTCCAGCTTAAAGTTTCCCCCAAGAGATTCCTTGGTTCCGTGGTTTGGAGGCTGACAGTGGGACAGACCTATCTACCCCAGTGCTACTGACAAAGTGGTCCACTCTCTGGACCCTCTTCCCAAGGATTAGGGAGATGGGACACATGTGTGGAGAACAGTAAGCATGCTATGGGCACAAGGCTATTCATATATCAAAAAATGTTAGAAACCTATTGTGAGGAACAGAGGAAGAAAAAATAAAAGCAGTTCTGTCCTTGTATGCATTGTCTATAGAAGCCTCACTTTTAATGCCAACTTCCATGAAGTTATTTATACTCTGATCTAATTATATAATGGCTGCCAAATCAATGATGCTAAACTGAAAACAGAATAAATTAATGGGATGATTAACTGTTATTTTCTTCCAAGCTGAAGTTTAGGCCACACCATTACATTGGATATATGCTTTGTACTTTTCAACTACCTGAATTTTCTTTTTAATTTAAATATTGTTGCTGGATTGGGCTAGTATTAGCATAATTTTTAAATTTTTTGAAACATTAATTCCATATCATTTTTGTGGACTTGTCATTAAGACTTACTTTCCAATCCATTGAAGAGATATATTTACAGGGAAGAAATTGAATAGCATTTCAGCACTGATGGAGATACCTAGAGAAATTACTTTGAAGGTGCTGGCTGTTTCCATTTTAAGACAGGTGAAATAATAAATGACAGCCAAAATATTCATAACTGGAACATCTTAGCACATTAGAGGAGATTAAGTAAGTGTAGGCTTTTATTGCCCTTTACCTACCCTTCTTAGTTCTGACAGCGTGAAATGGTACAAACTGCTTTCTCCTCTCTCTTAATATAACTAGGTCAGCTGTGGCCCACAGAGGAAGGAGGTTACCTCTATTTAATACTCTCCGAAGTGGTATAGCCCACATAAATTGGCTCTTGAAGAACTTAGGGTGCGGCTATATGATCAGAAAGTATAAGTACTCCAAAAAACATATATTTGCCAGATTCTCCTTTTTTATGTTAGGCATGAGAATTTATTTCCCTTTTGTTTTTGTGGATTGTTTGTTCCTGCTTAAGCTTGCAGAATGGTTAACATAATGCCGGTGATAAACTTAAGAATGAGTAAAATTATTCAGTTGTTCATATGGTAACCAGTGATGCATGTGTTGAGTTTTCATACAAATTGGCTCATTTTTTTTCTCCTTCTTCCCCCCGCCCCCCCAGAAACGGCTTTTAGATTCAGATTTCATTGATCCCTTAATGAATAAAAAAGCTCGAATATCTCACCTGACAAACCGAGTGCCGCCAACATTAAATGGCCATTTGAATCCCCCCAGTGAGAAATCTGCCGCTGGCCTCCTGCCGCCCCCTGCAGCCGCTGCCATCCCTACCCCTCCACCGCTTCCTCCAACCCACCTGCCCGTCTCCAATCCTCCTCAGACTGTAAACTCTAACTCCAATTCCCCCAGCACTCCAGAAGGCCGGGGGACTCAAGACCTACCTGTTGACAGTTTTAGTCAAAACAGTAGTATCTATGAGGACCAGCAAGATAAATATACCTCTAGGACTTCTCTGGAAACCTTACCCCCTGGTTCAGTTCTACTAAAGTGTCCAAAGCCTATGGAAGAAAACCATTCAGTGTCTCACAAAAAGTCCAAAAAGAAGTCTAAAAAACACAAGGAGAAGGACCAAATTAAAAAGCACGACATTGAGATGACAGAAGAAAAGGAAGAGGACCTTAAAAGAGAAGAGGAAATTGCCAAGCTGAGCAACTCCAGTCCAGATTCCAATGAAGGTATATTTTACATTTGTAAAACCAACGACATGTGTTCAGTGAATGAGCAGAGCAAACTCATCATGAGTGTGAGATTATGCTGTTTGTAATTAGTAGTGCTTTTTTTATCCATTGACCTTCTGTTATTAATCTTAGTGTTGTGGTATTGAGCAGATTTTTTTCTTGTATTTAACAGCAGTCATTTTCAGTCTCTTTTTAGCCAACTATTAAACATAGTTTCTATATTTGAGAATAAGATGGTAACATTTGAAAATGACTTTATTATCCTCTAGAGACCCCCTTCTAGAAGGTAGACTGTGTTGCTCTTTCCCTTAACTGCCAGGGTACTGCGCAACCTCAACGTGACCTATTATATGCCAGTCTTGAACTAATTTAACCAGACACACAATTAGCGATAAAAATAATTCTTTTCCTTCTTTGCCAAAGAAACAGGGTCACCCCTGCCTTAATTAATATTAACACAGGAGAAATGTCAAATTCTTTATAAAACAGGCAAGGTAAGATTGCATCTGCAGATCCATCACATCATCGTTATTCAGAGTGAAAGCAGTTTGTCTTATGTAAGGCTATTGGCAATTTGCTTGATAGAGCTTAAGAAATTCTTTTTCAGTTTTAAGAACCCTGTTTTAGTAAACTAGTATTAATTGTTATTAGTAAAATTTAACCATTTCAAGCTTTTGGAAACTTTAAACGCCAGATATGTAGAGATGCAAAGAAGCTTATAAAGCTAATCAGTAGAAAAGACCACTTACCTGAGGTATAATGATCTTTAACACCTAGGGACAAAATTCTATTTTTCTTATTTTAAAAAAGTTGTCCTCTAAAACTTAATGTCCCCCATGCCAGCACATCGAAGATTCAAGCCCATCATTTAGCATTGCTGCCAGTTTTAAACCCAGCTTACCTAAAGCAAAATTCTCTAGGAAAATACAACCTTAGAAAAGTTATTCATTTAATGAATAGAGTTTAAGGAGTGTTGTCTTTCTGTAATTTGCCCATAATACTGGAAGTCTGTAATCCTTAGATTTAACTGACCATTTTTACCACAAGAGAGGAACTTTGCAGAACAGTATGATGCAGTGCCTTCATTGACCTGGATTGAATATACTGCATATCAAAGCTTATCTGTTGAAACATTTAGATCAGTATGGTACTACGTATAGTGGCCCAAAAGGTAGATGTAAGCTTTTTTCCCTCGAGTACTACTGTACTTGAATTTGCCAGGTCAGGAAAAGGCAAGAGGTAATAAAACCTTGTGTTCAGAGTTAGCAAGCCATGTTCCTGGTTATATCCCAGCCTCCACACTTCCCACCCTGAGATGGTGATCCTGAATCAGGCTGGTGTTGGGGGGATTGGGTCCCAGTATGTTAAGACCTACAGCACAGTTTGAGTGTTTCTCAGAGTTAGAGGCCTGGAGAAGCAGACCTAGTCTTTGAATCCTCCACTGAGGATGTAGTACCTCTCAAAGACAGTTGAGATTATCCCAAAATACTGAGGATAGATCCAGACCCACAGCCCCTGAATCTATTGGAATTTATCTGGTGTTTGTAGCAAAGAAGCAGCCAGGTGAGATGCACTTAATGCCTTTTCCTTTAAGACACAGGCTGTTGTGAAAAAAAGACTCAGGCTTGAGTCAAACACACAAACACGCACGCACGCACGCGCACCCGACCATGAACAATAAGCCCACAGAGTGCATAATCTGTTTACTATACTTGGTCTTTTAAAATATTAAATCAAGAAATTACAGAATTTTCACTTTATTTTATATTGAACATGTATGTTTTGCCACAGGCAGGATTAGGATTTGAGTTATTTAATTCTACTCTGAATGCTAAAAAATTACCCTATAAAAAGTCTAAACATACCCATAGGAAAAGGTGGTGCATTCACACAAATAGAATACTGACTAAGGGATTTTACATACTTTCACAGCATAGCCCTGAATGACTGGCAGTCTATTTATTTATTTATTTATTTTGTCCTTTTAAAAACAAATCTGAAGTATTATGAGATGTAGAGATGGGAGGGGCGTAAATTGTGATTCAGTAATGACTTATTTTAAATTACTTTAAACTGACACAGGAAGACTTCTTGGCTGCTTCCACCGTCTGCATACAAAAAGGGTGGCAATAAAATACAGTGGCCAGAGCAGTCTGTTACCTGACTTCATTGTCTCATCTGCCTTGTTTGAATCCTATGAAAAGTAGATGTTGATGTAAAATTTGTATCTTCCATTGTCTGGCTGCATCTGCCACCACAGTCTTTGAATTGCTAGGCAGATGCCACAACTGTTATGGAAAGAATAGAAGACTGACCTTGGGTTAAGATGAAATTCCTTTATTATGCAGACACTGCAGCAGCCAGGGCACTCTCAATGCCTGCCCTCACTTCTGCTGGCCCTGGTCATGGGGCCTCCATTGTTCGGATTCAGTTGTATGCCTTGCTCACTGTTGCTTATTGAGCTGGAAGAACAGATTTGGAGGAAGAGTGTTCCAGATGTTTCTGATCTATTTTAGAATTATAGGCATTTTATAACCATACTGTTTGGTGAAAGCCTGAATCTTTTTCTTCGTTGTAGGAGTTAAAGAGGGTTGCACTGCCTCCACGGAGCCTTCTTCAACAATTGAACTCCCAGATTATTTGATGTAAGTTCTGACGTCTGCCAATGGGAGAGAACTGTTTAATTTTAGAAAGTTTGCAATTTCTTTTCCCATAATTCACAAATCAGAAAAGAAGTTCCAGAAATAGAGTCCTGGAGCCACCCCTGCATTTGAAAGGCTGCCATTAAGCCTGCTTGTCCCAGATCCACCCCTGTCTGCCTGAGCAGGTTGTGCCTCCCCCTGCTCTGAGCTCTGCTCCATGGGCCTTTAAGTATAGAGAAGCCTGTCCTTTGTTCCGGTGCCAGGCCAGGCATTTGATTATGGAAGATTTCAGGGATCTGACTCTTCAAAGCTGACAGTCAATCAATGCACATTCACTTGTTCCCCTTGAAGAGAGAGTTTATTACTGATAAAGAGCTTAAACCTCCGCAGTTAATACAAAGTACAGATAGACTGATTTTCATTTAAATAAATCTCTGCCATGGAATTAATTTTAAGAGGAGAGAATAGTAAAATTTGATCATTTCACTTTAGTACCAGTTACAATGTTTTTCTTGTTATGGCAACAAGTTGCTAAATGCTGAGCTGGAGACATTTTTGTAACTGGTTATCACAGAAATTATAACTTGTACACATAATTCTAGCTTTTTTATAGACTCAGAGGCTTCTGTAAGAAGAAATAATTAAGTTGCAAGAGCCTGGAAAAATGAAGAGTAGAAGAGCAAACAGATTTGACTGCAGGATAGCTTTGAAAATGAACAAATGGGCAAAATAATTTGAATGTAGATTGGAAAATGAACTCTGAGCTGTATAAACATTTTTTCTCTCTTAGTAGCATCTCATGATGGACAAAGTTAAACTATGCCGTTTGGCACTCCATGTACAACGAAATGTTCATTTCTAAAGTAGAGAACATTTTATACTTAAAATGTGTTAACCTTTGCTTAACAGTAGTGTGAAAGCTATACTTAATGGGGAACGATACAGCATGAAACCATAATGCTGGTTATCATCTCTTAACTAGAAAGAACCCAAGAAACCATGCTGACTCCTCTCTCATATGAAGTGGTATGGTTTTAGACTTCTGAGGGAGCTTTGAAAAGCAACCACCACTGAATTGGCCCAGGAAGGCTTGGGTTGGGGGATAGCTCCTGGCTTCACTGATGAGAGAGTTCACCTCTCCTTTTGCAAACCCACTTCTCCTTAAAAGTCTTGTGAAAGTTCCCCCCCTCAAATGACAACTGCAATACTGGGCTCTCATTCTCTTGTGATTTTGGATCTTTGGATTTTGAATTCCCCGTTTTTTTTGTAATAGTGATACAGACTGGTTATATGTGACAAAATCATGTGGGGAGACTATAAAATAATTCTAACCCTTTCCCCATGGATTCAGGATGTTGCTGTGTTTTGTCAGCTTAACCAATTCATTCTATATTTTAAAACTTGTTTTTAACTCCCTAATCTGAGGATGGTTGCTGCATTTGCTTCATGTTTCTGGCTCTTTAAAATCATGAAAGTATATAACCTCTGTGATTATTTGCTTAATTTATTTTATCCCAAAACTATCTGATATTAATACAGCAAATTTTCTTAAAATGGTGAGAAAGCTGGACTTTTCAAGAACACCAAAATTACAGAACTTAAAAGACTTTGGTTGTTTCATAAGAAAACCAAAAAGACATACAATAAAACCTTAATGATCAGCCTCTGAATAAGTCATACTTAAACCACAATATTCCTAATTTTTATACAATAAGAATACTTTTACTTGTGGTTGTGAAATAGCCAAGCCCCTGAAAATTTTATTCCATCCCTGCATTAGGAACCAACTAGAGAACCATAACAGTTTTGTTTTGTTTTTTAAATAGTGAAATGCTTTTCGTTAAAATGCCAGTATAACCAAATAATCTTCTATAATAGCAACACAACTGTTGGCCAGTTTGGTATTTTTCCTAAGGAAGTTATTAAATAAAATACTGAGGGTGTAGCCTCGGTTGTGATTTTGAGAAAGCAGGGTATTTTATATAACAAATTAAGCCTGAGTTTCATGAGCAGTTTAGCCATTTGGTTACATACACTTATCCCCAGGAACCTCTTTTCCCCACCCTGGGCTTCCTCTGGTGTGCAGTCAGGACAGCCCTGTCTAGGAGAGGACTGCTTCTCTGCTTGGCTGGCCCCGTTCCTTTTACAGCAAAGACACCAGCAGGGCGCTTTAAATCAGCATACTACTGCTGTCTCAATTACACTTAGAAAAATAAACCTCCACAGTGTCTAACTCAGCATGAATAAAAATATTAATGAGGACATTAAGGTTGCACAGTTGCATCACTTTTCTCACATTTCCAACTGGACACTTTGCTCTCTCATTTTGAATAAAACTGGCAAGATTATCTGAAACCATTTTTGAAGAAGACTGAACTCCAAGGTTTTCCCACAGTCAAGAATATATGCACGTGCCTGAGGCATGCTGAAGCACCTGCTACCTGCCTGAAATTGCTTTGAAATCTCAATTTTTATCTCCAAAAGTAAGGGAATTTTGCATTCCACGACAGGAACACAGAGTACAGAGACCCAGGCCAGACCCTGGTGTGATCCCACTTCCCGGAGCCACAAACAAATAATACTTCGTTTTTAATACTAGAATGCTGTTTTAATTTGCTTACCACTGACTAAACTGACACTCTGGGAAAATGGCCTTCCCTCGCCAGTTTCCTAAAGTTATTCACAACCCCAAGTAAAACAGATTTATGGCGTTTTTATTAAAAAAGTAAATTAGAATAATAGTATACGCTGATGTTCAGTTACACAGACTGATATTTTAGTGTTGAAAAGAACTAGAGAAATATGCCTTCCCCCTCACCCCCTCTTTTTTTTCCTGGTCTCTCATTTCAAAAGAAAACAATTACTCTTTTGTATTTTATACATTTGCCTAGTCAAACGTGGGAGGAAAGAGGTAGAGAGAATAAGCCGGAGGCACCTTGCTGGCAGCAGGTATAAACGGCCAGAAGACAGACCTCCTCTCATAAAGCAGCAGATCCAGGGGGAGCTTTGACTTCAGCATTCAGTGACTATGTAACACTCTCCTGGTTTCATGTTACCCACCTTCTGTTTCCATGTGACTCGTAACAGATGGGTTGGCCTCTGCCACTAGTGTGGTAGTGAATTACTTTGGATAGAGAAAGGTTTGGGAAGCTAAATGTGTCAAAGTGTTGTTTTCTAGTCACACTTCAGTCCCATCGCCACCATGTTTTTTTCACATTTACTTTCCTTCACTGAAGGTCTGAAGCTCTCCGGTGGGATAATTTCACCTGGCAGTCGTCCGAAGGAGTGACATGGGAGCAAACAGTGGCAGGGGCAGCATTCAGTCTAAGGATACATGCTTGGATACGGTTTCTAGGTTTTTGGTTTAAATGTCAGGCCTTATGCATCATGTTGATTCTATAGTCTCTCTCAATTTATCTTCTTTCTTTTTTCTTATTAGAAAATATATTGCTATCGTCTCCTATGAGCAACGCCAAAATTACAAGGATGACTTCAATGCTGAGTATGATGAGTACAGGGCCTTGCATGCCAGGATGGAGACTGTAGCTAGAAGATTTATCAAACTAGATGCACAACGAAAACGGCTTTCTCCAGGCTCAAAAGAGTATCAGGTAAACATGTTTGCTCCTAGATAGGCTGACTTCCATATTTTACCCTCTTTGTTCTCTGCCTGGCCCATCCCCAGGCACCCTACTGGCCTTCAGAGCAGGTCTTCTGGCAAACCAGCCTCTCTGCAGCTTTTGGTCTTCATTTAAAATTAGCTAGGAGGGGTGCCTGGGTGGCTCAGTCGTTAAGCATCTGCCTTCGGCTCAGGTCATGATCCCGGGGTCCTGGGATCGAGCCCCGCGTCGGGCTCTCTGCTCAGCGGGAAGCCTGCTTCTCCCTCTCCCACTCCCCCTGCTTGTG